GCCAGCTGCTACCATTTGGGATTATATTCACAAAACCACTTCCATTGGAATTTATGGGCCCAAATATATCCATTCAAGTTTTACTGCTGTTTTTGTAGTTTGTGGGCACAACTATGTGCCAGGAAAGTTTGCAGTCTCTGACATTAGGATGGGTGGAAAAAATACATCTCCAGTAGTATTTTATCTCTGGGGAAAGCATTCATGTTTACTTGACAAGCCACAAGATTTAATTATTTCAGCTTTTTCATGTGATCCTGATTTTGAAGTAAAGATAGAGAGAGAAAGGCAAATGATTGTACAAAGGCAGTTGGAAGCAGGTGCAGTAGTCCATCAACAAGTTTTCTTTTCTTTGGTTGACCACAGAGAGATGCACTCCTTCGTTTTCGGGTTCATGTGGGGTCTCCCAATGGAAAACCAGTCACACAATTCTTTGTCACTTCACCTGATCCAGCCCCAAACCTCAAAAGGCTCTTACATTTGCAGAACTATGTTCAGGAGGGAGAAAGCAAGAGAGTGCCTTTGTTATCAACTGGGTTTATCAACTACCCCACTTTCCAAGTTGAAAAAGTGAAATTCACCAATTATGGGTTCACAGTGAAGACGGTACTGAGGCAAAGTAAAATTGACTACTTACTTGAGTATTTAAAGGGGGCTATAATTGCCCTTCTTGGAGAAGGCACAGTAAGAGCCATTGGACAGTCCAAAGTGAAAGAGTGGTATGTAGGTGTCCTTTGAGGTAAGATTGGACTTGTACATTGCAAAAATGTCAAGGTGATTTGCAAAGAACAAGTAATGTCTACGTCTGATAGTATTTTGACAACCAAAAATCTTTTGGAGCAAATTGCCTTGCCATTTAAAAATCTGACTTATATATACTCTGTTGTATTGACTCTGGTGTCAGAAAACATTCATGATTGGAAAGTTTTAGCTAATGTCCTGAACTACTCACATCTGGCACAGGAAGATTTTGATCAAATTCAAGCAGACAATGAACCAGAAAGGGTTTCTTATATTGTCAAGAAATTAAAGGAAGATTGCCATAAAGACAGAAGTACCAGGAAGTTTCTTTATGAACTGATTGTGGTGAATATTGGTTAATAATAATAATTCATTTTAGAGAACTTCATTAACGTGATGATATTTATAGAAAGCATTAGAGGTGAAATGAAAAACCAGTAGTCTCCAATACACTGAAGTACTAAGCAGCACGTAGGGAACTTTTCCTGCAAGGCTATAGCATTGGATTCATGACTTGAGAGTCAATTGTGATTTTCTCAGAAAATAGGTCTATAAGGATCATCTTTTAAGAGAGCTTAAAGGTTGTGTTTTTTTGTTGGAACTTTTGTTTTAAATTTAAGAGATTAATTCTTTTTTTCTCAAATATTTGGACAACCCTTCAAGTATCATATAAACTCCATAACATGAATGTAAAAAAACAACCATAGCATAAAAATAAAGAAAACAAACAAAAATACCTGATCTTATACAGACTTATTTCTCAATGTTTCTTTCCTTCAAATACATAAGTATTACCCTTTATTTCATCAGTTGAATGTTCTTCTTACGGAATGTTGCACTCTCCAGCAATGATTCTACCAACACTGTATTTAATATGCTAATAGAATTCTCAAGGGTCAACTCTTTTGAGCATTACTTTTCTCAGTTAAAAACCTGGTGGAGATTATAAATAATTGGATTTAAAACACAAATCAATGTTATAGTAACAAAGTATCAGGATGACATTTCTAAAGAAGAAAAAATATGAATGTAGCTAATACTTCCTAAATGTTAAATTCTACTACTGTCTTCAAATAGTGTGTGAGTGTGTATGTGGGGGAGGGTATAAAATGTTTTTGTAAGTAAATGTTAGTAAGTGTACTGAGTAGTATAAAAATGAAAACAGTACTCATATGTATGAAAATGATGAATAAGGCAGTTGGCAGAGACACATTAAAAAGTAAGTTTTAGTTAAGCTAGAAGCAACAAAGAAAAAATGGTGGATGAATTCAATCTATAGCATTAATAATAATTTGCATGTTAAGAAGATGATTCTACAATGACACCAAGAACAGTAAAACTTGAGAGTTATAATGTCTAGTTTGTGAGTGGACAGTTTTATTATGATATGCTCTGTCCTTAGTGACTATGGGCTCAGGTAACTGAACACTAGTTTTCCTGCTCAATATAAGCTACACATTGATTTTGTAATTGCTTTTTTTTTGTAACTTAGATGTACAGTAGAGATGTTCAAAAACTACAAACAAAACTTTTCTTTCTTTTCTTAGTAGCTAAAAATAAGTTATCTTAGCCTCACAATCTGAAAGTTCAGATCGTACCATACCTGTAGTTTGGGGAGGGCATAATAAATCATAGAATGCCTTGATTAGACGATGTTGATAGAGACCTATTCAAAAGAGTTGCCCCTAATGGACCCAAAAACTATTATTAACCCTCACTGATGCCCTTAAGACTTCCTTCTAAAAGAGACTTAGACCCAGCCCTATGTTAACAAAGCAATTGATCCTTCTGTGATGTAGAGTTGTGTATTCAAACACCCTTTGTGTTAAGTGAAAATTTTTCTTCCTCTTTGTCTTGATATGTGAAGTTGAAAAGTATAGATAGATTGCTTTTTTCTCCTAATATGTGACATTTCTGAAAACCCTTCAGCATGTGATTTTATATTAGTTCTAAAAGATTAGGCAGAATGATATTATCTCCATATTCAGTATACAAAACATTACAACAGTATAGCAAATACTTCTTATGAAATTGTACATTGCCAGGGTAAAGCCATACCACAAAAACTTGAGTGTACTTTGAAGACCTGCTGCCCTGGTATTGCTTCTCACTGTGGCCACCTTTGATCAGTATAAAAAGAGGAATCAATAGAACTTGTGTCTAGAGTCCAAACTGTTCTTTTAACTGTAGATTTCATGGGAATAAATATGGTAAATTTTTATTGGTGCCTTTTAAAATTAATTTAACTTAACTTATTCTTTCTCATGGGTAAATAAAACTCCTAGGTACCATTACATAATAAACAGCTGCCAAGCATCTTTACAAACTTATTTACATATGTATGTATATATTCATATATTTTTAAAATATACTCAAAGCAACTAAAAAGCTCTTAGACTTGCCTGGAACGAATAGTAAGAGAGAAAGCTTAAGTGTGCAATAAATGAAGGAGAATATTTGTCTTTATTACTTTGTCATTTATGTGTTGTCAGGGTTTCTGTCTTGCCCGGTTCCCACAATTGTTAAATCCCAAAGAAATCACACAGAGGTCTAAATTAACTATAAACTGATTGACCCATTAGTTCAGGCTTCTTATTAACTCTTATTAACTTATATTAGCCCATTATTCTTATCTGTTTTAGCCATGTGGCTCAGTACCTTATTCAGCCGGGCAATCACATCTTGCTTCTTCTGTGGCTGGGGTCACACTGCCAACCAGGAGTTCCTTCTTCCCAGAATTCTCCTGTTCTCAGTGACCCGCCTCTACTTCCTGACTGGTTGTCGCACCTATACTTCCTACCTAGGTACTGACCAGTGTTTATTTTTAAAATATAATTGACAGAATATAAAGCATTGTCCCACACCATTTATGTTAACAGAATCACATTAGAGGTGAGGGAGGCAGATTACGTAAATTCAGAAATGTCTGTAACTTAGTTTAAAATTAAAGGAGTATCATGTGTTTACTCAATAAGCATGTTTCTAAGAAAAATTTAAATCACATTTTGCTGAAAAAGATCTGTGTTAATCCTCTAGTAAGACAAGGAATACGCTTGGGGGGAATGAGTAATTACCTCTAGGTTCAGATATTATCAATTGCTGGAGCCTTCGGTGCTGATAAAAAGGTTGATAGTGTTCCATTAGCAGTAAAAGTCATATATTAGTAATGTGATTTACTCATGATCCCATAGCTAGCTACTGAGGCTATACTAAAGCTCTCCTATTTCTAGGATATATGTTCATTGTGTTAGTTTGTTGAATTTTCCTAAATATAAATCACTGTTTTGGGTTTACAAACCTTAACTATTTGTGTGGTGTGAAAAGGTATTTTAATTTCTAGAATACATAATGCAAATTACAGTTTCAAGGAAAAAGTCAATGAGTTGTTTCTAAGAATGATGGATACTTGCTACCACAGGCTCTGCTAAAGATGGATCACCAAGCATTAGTGGCACGTCTTCTCCAAGAGGCTGTTATTCTAACCTCAGCTGTTAAGCTCGGAAGAAGCTGGAGGGAACTTGCTGAGAAATCTGCAGGACTCACTAAGCATCAGATGCAGGGGTATGAAATTCCTTACCGAGGAAAATCTGGAGATGTTTCAGCCGAGGTGAGATTTTCATATGTTCTATTCAGTGGTGACAAACTGTAGCCAAGTAGAAAAAATGTAATTTAGTCTTTTCCATGTTTATAAACTAATTAAAGGAACATTCAGAAACACTTAGTCCCTACTAACTGAAGTTATTATCTGGTAACCCTGTTGGAAATGTCTGAAATATATATCATACTTCTAAAAAACACATTTATATTTCTCTTGTTAGATTTTATATTTACATGGCTTTTGAGCAAATTAATCCATTAAATTGGAGCAGTGAGGACACAAGGCTACAAGAATTTAAGGCTTAGAGCAGGTACATTTTTGAGTCAATAAATACTCAAGTCATCTCAGAGAAGATATACTTAATCATTTATGACAAGTGATAGGGCTTGATGATGAATCCTAGGAGGGGAATGATATGGAGCCATTGAAAATGATTGACAGAGATATAAAAGAGTCATTTCATCTTTTTTGAATTCTATGTACAGTAAGAATTATTAATATCATACACAGAAAGAAAGCATTTAGTGCAAAGATATTCATCACAAAACCTGCTTGTTTCAGCAGTATTATTACATGGATTCTGTTATGCACATTGCATATATTTATTTCTTCAGATTACCATAATAGCAATGTGATCCAATTTTTTCATATGAATTACATTTTCCATTAATGAGTATATGGTAGATGCCCTGCATCTTTCAACAAGTTAAAACTTTTTCAAGATGTTTAAGGTAAGGCCAATATTCTCTGAGATGGTGACATTATAAGCATAATCTGCATGTTCTGTGTCATTTTGGGTCTTAGAGATAGATGGGTGGAAGGATGGATACACACACGCACACACACACACACACACACACACACACACACACACACACACACGTTTTTCAAGACAGGGTTTCTATGTGTGACTAGCTCTCTCCTGGAACTCACAGACATTCAACTGCCTCCCTCTCTCAAGAGCTGAGACTGAAGGCCTTTTGACCTTTTCTACAATGCCTGGTCTTAGAGATGGATATTTGCTTTTCAGATTCTTCTTACTTGGCATTCTGTTAGGTGATCCGGTTGCAGCCTTTCTAAGAGGAGTTCAGTAGGTCAAGTCAGCTGATGCCTTCCAGCTGCAACAGGTGTCAGTTGGACAGTTGTTGAATCCCTGCAACCCAGCTCACAAGAAAGGACTTCTAAACAAAATCTGTTCAGGAGCAACTAGGGATTGGACACATAAGTCCCACTTATCTGCTCCACGTATCTTCACAAACCTAGAGGGGAACTGAAGCCACCAATGAGCAGAATCCAGAGTGAGCATAGCATCCAAGATGGACACAAGTGTTTTCTGCGTGAGCTGAGAAAGCAGGAACCTTGAGGGAGAAGAGAGTATTGCAAGAACTGTGCTGTCGTGGTCCTGACATTTCAGTAAACTGGCTAAAAAGCTGTCCAATTGAAAACTGCTATTCTTTTGTCACGATGGGGCCTTGCTTTTGTGAGTTTTGTTTAGATTTATTGGAGAGCTGTTTGTCCTGCAAGCCTTCCTAAGCATCTGGATTCCCTCTAATTGTGTTTATTGTTTGCCTTCCCTCAAATCTTGCTGCAGGCTAACTAACACACAGCCTATTTGTCCATTATTTACTTTCACACAGCCCAAATCATAAGTGACTAAGTCTGTGTCTGAGGCTGATAAAATCTCAGAAACCTAAAGGAAACCCCCTAGATGTTTTCTAACGGCAACAATTCAATTCATTGCAACTAACACTACAGCCACAGTCTGATCCATGTTATCACTTAGGAAAACAAAGGCATTAGGGCCCGAAGCCATTCTAACTGTCCAATAGGAATTTTACCTGTTTAGCCACTTACTAGGACAAAGCATGCTAATTTCCACATCCCCAAATATTGTTGTAGAGTTTTGTTTCTTTTTGGGAAAAGAGCCATTTTAAACGTGATGGGTTTGACAAGTTAGGTAGTTGATGTGTAACTACTTATAATTGGGGTTAGAACTGGCCTTGGGGTGAGGGAACATGAATTTAATGTTCCTTTGCTGTGGTATCTTTGTTTCTTTCATGTCATTTACTCTGACATATGGTCTATGGGCCCTGTGTCCCTGGTACAATATTTTCTTCTGTGATATAGAAACCTTGGAATCTCATCAGGTTTTCTAGGATTCAGCATGACAACTATGGCATTATCTTACTTCCAAAATATGCCTGATCTTCCTCATCAAACTTCAGACTTACAGAAGAATGGGGATACTGAATGTACCTTTCCTATATATTTTAGTACTTTTGACCATTTAGTGTTCTTTTTGAAGTGAAGAGGAAATCTTTTGAGAATTCTGAGAATGTCACTTTTTAAAATAAACACCTCTTCAATTTATATTTTAAGTTAATACAAATACTACATTAAAGCTATTACATATAGTGTTTAGAACCAATAATATGCATATAAGCATTTTAAAAATTATTTTTGTAGGTTTTTAAGAGATCTGTTAACTTTTATTTTATATAATTTATGGCCATGTTACCTGTGTGTATGTCTAGACAGCACATGCGTGGTTGGTTCCCATGGAGGCTGGATTTGGTGTCAGATTCCCGGGGATTGCCATTACAAAGAGTTGTCAACTTCCATTTGGGTACCAAGAATTGAAACTTGGTCCTCTGTGAACGAAGTCAGTGAACTACTTCACTGTTGAACTGTCTCTCCAGCCCATGCAAAACACATTTTAATAAAAATGTTTTTATCAGAAAATATGTTTATAATATATAAAGATGTAAGTGGTGTCTTTTTTTTTTTTTTAACAAGAATACAAATCCACTTTTATTTATTTACTTCTCATTAGTTGAAATTCGGAAAGGGTACAGCATCATACGGATTCTCTGCCCAGTGGCCTTTGCAGGATGGTTGCTTTGGAATTTGGCATGAACCCTCCTTCTGTTTCTATGGTCCCCAGATACTTTCCCCCAGATAACTCTGGTTTTATTTAGCTTGCCTACAGGGGTCACTGGTTTTTTGTTTTTTGTTTTTCTTTTATACACTTAAGAGCATCTCTTACCCAAGTAGAATTGAGTTTCATTTCAGGCATAAACACCTTCAATTTTAAGAAAAGCTGTGCTCTCCCTCCGGTTCCAGAGACCTCGTTGTAGCCAGCAAAAATGTCCTTGCTCCACAGCCTTCCAGCCATGTTTGCCTTTCAAAAGATCTCTTCACAGCAGGTCCCATGAATCTGCCCCCAAAGTTCACAATAGGAACTTCCCTCACCTCCCCCCACACTTTGTTTTGTTTTGTTTTTCATTCTTTTGTTTGTCTTTTTCTGTTTTGTTTTTTTTTCTGTGAAAGTTAATTTAAATTTTGTGTAGTTTTTCTGAAGATATTTCAAGATTTAACTTAAAAATACAAGAACCCATTAAATATTAGAAAGAAAGCCCAATTTGTAAAGTCTGGTTTCACAGAGAAAAGCTGCAGATTTCAAATCTAACACTTTTTTAGGCTGGAGGCTGGGCCTCTGTCAATCTTCTACAGATTCCTGGCAAATATGACATTAATTTCTCTGTGACTCTCTTCCATGGAATCTTTCTAACAATAAAGATTAGGTTCCTCCTTTCCTATTTGCTAAAGACCCTAACGGTTTATCTCACACTTTAAATTTCCTCTGCCCGCTCACCTCCCAGTCCAGGCACCAGAAGTCTTAGTTCCTTTGGCATGCCACACAGGGCCACACTGTCTCCATGGAGACACAATGAAGCTAAGATTTTTAATCACCATGTGTTTTTCATCTCTGACACTATTCAAGTGTAGAACAGTGCAGTCAGCCAGGGGTCCCCTAATTCTTTTGCAATAGTGCAAGTCTAATTCTCTGTTGCATCCCCTAGAAGCAGTCCTTATTTCCCCCTTTATGACTTACAACTCAAGTGCTCGAAGCATTTCATCCTATATGTAAATTAAAATGAGAACGCAGAATTGTTGTGATTTCTTGTTACAAAACGTACTTCTTATGCAGGCATAAGAACCCTGATAAGTTCTTGTTAGATATCTTGTTTACATTAGTTTGAAATTAGGATGAACTATTATTTTTTAAATAAAAATTTTTTTGAAGAAGCTTGTCGTGAGCCTTATTCCTGAGCAGGCATTCTGCCCTTACTTAGAGGTCTGCAAGTAAATACTCAGGATGACCACAGTGTTTGTTCTAGGAACAAGTTTATTATGCCAATAGTCAAATCTCCAATTGTTAGCAGGTATGGGTAAACATCAAACTATAACAATCATTTAAATCTCTAATTATTCTTATGGCAGATATAAGTAAACATTAAACCTATAACAATCCTGGTCAATCAATCACATCACACCTTCAATCACATCACACATTCAGCAAGAGTTCCTATGTGTCCTAGGCAAGGTCTTCTATCCTATCTTACTGAGGCATTTGTGTATACGACCTGATAATGGTCCGTGGCTCTCGACGTAGGCCTCTGGATCAGCAAGTCTTGATCCGCAGGCAAGAGCTAGTTCTCTGGCTCTTGG